AACTGGAGATGAGTCTCACAGACTTTCCTGCCTGGGCTGGCTTTGAACTGTGATCCTCAGATCTCAGCCTCCTGAGTAGCTAAGATTACAGGCATGAGCTACCAGCTGGAGTAATTTTTGAGACAGCCAATGTAAACCAGGTTTGTCCTGGGAGCTTGTAATCAATCCTCTTGCCTGCCTTCTGGGATTGCAGGCATGCATAGCTGCACTGGCTAACCATTACAAACCTCAGCAGTATTAGTGGGATCTAGCCTTGGACCCTCAGGTATATTGACCAGAGCCTTCCCACAGAAGTCTTCCCCAACTGGCCTTTCTTCTGAGGCTCCATTTTTTTTTTTTTTTGCTTTTCCATTGGGGCATTACCCAAGATCCAGGTTTTCCACTAGGGCTACCCTCAGTCTCTCTACAGAGGGCTCAACTTCAAGGTCTAAGCTCAGAGTTCTCCACCAGGACCTAATCTTAGTTGTGGCTGCACCAGTCCATCCATCCTCCAGCCTCTCCACTGGAATCCACCCCAGCCTATGTCCACTGGGGTCTAACCTGAGACCCCTCCCTCACACTGGAAGAATTTAGATCTTCATGTTTCTGTTAAGGATTGAGCTCATTTCTTTCCTCTGCTGGTTAGCCTGGGATCTGACCTCTGCCCTGTTCCTGGGTCTAACCTTGGAACTGCCCTGCTCCCTCAGTTCTTCTGCGTGAATCCAGCATCCAATACGATGCCTGGTATACAGCAGGTGCTCAACAAGTGCTTGCCAAGCAAAAGACTGAAGACAGTTGCAAAAGCTTTGTTACTCCAAACTTTGTATTGGTCAGCTGAATGGTGGGGGAAGGGAGGGAGGGAGCAGGTCAGGAGGCCGTGGTCTCAGCAGGCCTTGGGCCCACCCTGTCCCCAAACTCCTGCAGCTGCTGTCTCCTCTGCTCCACCTGCCGCCGAAGCCGGGTCAGGACCAGTTCAGAGGCCTGGGTCAGACTGTGCTGTGGGCACAGGAGAAGGGTGGAAGCCGAGGGGTTCAGGTTAGCCCACAGTGGGAGGGCCAAAGAAGACCAGGAGGTACGCCAAGGTGGGAGGTCAGCATGTGGGAGGGGACCGGGCACCTGGGATAGTAGAGGCTAGCCCCCAGAGGGAGGCCTGGGCTAGCCCCCAGATGGGAGGAGGTGAGGTGAGCAATGGGTGGGAAGGAGAGCGAGGTGTGAGGCGTGATTATGTCAGGAGGAGAGGGCAGCTTGGGCCCTGGCGAGGGGCACAGCCTGGTAGATGCTGGCTCAAGGTGAGGGCTTACCTGCAGGATGTGCACCCCCTTCAGGGAGACCACGGCCAGCTCCCGCAGCCCGTCCCCGGTCAGGTCCACGTGGGCCATGGCCAGCAGGGGGCTGGAGAAACTTCGCTGCCACAGCAGGTGGAACCCGCCCTGGGCCCCCGGGAGCCCGGGCTCTGGGCCGCGGTACTTATAGCACAGTAGTTCCTGCAGGACGCAGGGGCCACGGTCACGTGGCCGGCTGGGGCATGGGCGCGGGGAGTGGTGGCGCCGCCGTCCAGCCCTCATGGCCCACCTGCCCGTAGGTGGCCACCAGGACTTCCGGCTGACCATCCAAGTCCATGTCCGTCACCAGGCCACAGAGGACGCTGTCAAACCGGTCACTCCCCGGCAGGAGAAGCTGGTCCTCGAGGCCCCGGCTCAGCAGGTCCCTGAGGGTCCCCGACGCAAGCAGAGACGCAAAGGTCTGATGGGGGGGAGCGCTACCCTTTGGGGCCATCCTGCAGCCCTGCTCAGGTGCTTGAATCCCCCCCAACACCTGCGCTGCACCCTGTCTCCAAGGGGGAGTTGGGAGGACACCCTGGGCACTGGGACTAGACACACAGGTGTCCAGCACTCTTCTCCAGTCGAAGCAGGGCTGCCTCACTCCCAAGTGGATGCCACAGCATTCAGTCTGGGGGTTCTGAAACCCCATGCCCCATCTCAGCAACCATGCTGCCCCCATGGGGAGTTTGTCCCTGGCTCAGACACCACTGCTGACCACCACAGTGGGCAAGGTGCTGGCCCTGACCCATGGAGCCAACTGAGAAGTTTTCCGATACCATGGCTTCATGCTGTTGGCCTGCCAGCCACTGTGTGTGTTTATGCCACGGGAATTGGCAGACGCTGCAATACGGGGCATTAGCTACACGGATGGAGCTCAAAGTTAACCACCTCCTCCAGGGGGTATGTGGGGGCTCTGTCCCACCCAAGGCTTCAACATGGACCCTCTAAGACCCGGACTTAAATATTCACAGCTCCTTCTCTGGTGACAGACATCTCTACCAGCCCTGGCCCACCTCCCCGGGCAGGACAAGGGTGGAGTGCACCTCTCACCGGTATACCACTGCGGGCTCCAACATGCTGGCCACGAGCAGGTTGTACTCCTCATGCTGTGACCTGGCCTTGGCCTCTGGGGGAGAGAAACAGCAACAGGGGACCAGGGTCCTCCTTATACCCTCCCCATTCGGGCAACAAGAAGGCAGATTAGACATCAGGAAAAAGATCTGAGGTGGTACGCTATACAGGGAGGGTTAGAGGTTGGCCCAGGAGAGACGTAGCTGAGGACAGCTAGCAGGCACCCGCTGTGAGGTCATTTTGAAAGCCTGAGGTTAGACAACAAAGGTTAGGCTATAGTTGAAAAGTCTAAAGGTCAGGGGATAAACCCCCAGCAGGGGAGAGGAAATCCACAGATGGAGCTAAGGGGCAGAAGGGGGAGTGTGGTTAGAGAGCAGATCGAGGGCAGACCAAGCAGAGGAGAGAACAGGAAGAGAACAGCGCAGAGTGGTGGGGAAGTGGCAGGTCAGTCCATGAGAGCACGAAGAAGCCCAAGGGGGAGGGAGGATGGGAGTAAACCACCACGTGAGGTTAGACCACCCAGAAAAAGGGGAAGGTGAGAGAGAAGTCTAAGGTTAGACCAAAGCTGGAGTCTAAAAGATTGGAGTTAGATTACATGGGCAATGGAGTTCAACCGAAAGTGGCTGCCTGGGGGCGTGGCCTGGGGCGTGGCCTTGACCTGTGCTTGTGGGGGTGTGGTCTGAGTGGGCGTGGCTCAAGCGATAAGAGCACCAACTTAGCAAGTGGAGAGGCTGAGTTCAAACCTCAGTCCCACCTGCCCCTCTCCAAAAATAAAAACAAACTCAAGTAGAGGGGCTGGAAGGGCTGAAGACAGAGGAGGGAGGGACCGGGGTCTGGACAGGGCGAGAGGGGGGCAATCTGGTAGGAAAGCTGAGCTTGCACACTCCTCATCTCAGCCTCTAGGAGGACAGCTCACCCTCGGGGGCTGCCAGGCTGAACACGATCACGCGCGAGATGGGTCCGTCCTGCAGGGTCGTCCATGTCTCCAAGACCTCTGGAAGGCCAGGGACACTCAGGGCTCTGCCCCTAGCTCCTGGCCCCACCCCCAGGCCCAGCCCTTACCTCGACTCTCCTGGTCCACGTGAGCCACACGCACGTAACCACTCTGACACCCAAGAGCTGAGAGACGCCGGGATGTGCCAGGGAGGTTGTGGACGTCCAGCCAGAGGACACTGGTGGACAGGAGGATGAATGGAGACAGCTGGACAGAAGGGGGCCAATCCTGGGCCCCACCTCACTTCCACCTCTCCAGGGGAATCCTGTCAATCCCTGAAGTCCTTGGCCTCATGTGTATCAAGCAAGTGCTCTATCATTTGAGCCATTCCCAGCCCCCATTTTTTTTTTTCTTGTGCTGGTCCTGGGGCTTGAACTCATGGCCTGGACACTGTCCCTAAGCTATTTTTCTCAAGGCTAGTGCTCTACCACTTGAGCCACAGCTCCAATTGTGGTATATTTTTTTAAATTTTTGAAGCAGGGTTTTCCAACTTTGTCTGGGCTGGTCTCTTTCTTCTGTCTTCTGAGTGGCTGGGATTAGAGGTGTGCTCCACCACATAGGTTTCCATATCTGATTTCTGTGAGGCAGTTCCTGCTGACCAGCTTCCCTGGGTGGTGAGTCCCCTCTACCTGTAGAATCCACTTTCCATTTGTTCTAGGGTTCCCCCCACTGCTGCTCAATACCCCTGAAGCCATGAGGAGGCTGTGGAGTTTCTCCAGGGTTGCCCACAGCCCCTGCTGCCCACAAGACCATGGCATCCCCTGACTTCTCTGAGACCACAGCCCCAGGTCCCCACTGGCCTCTTTCAGGGCCTCTCTTACCTACTGCTCAGGTTTGTGAGCTCTGGAAAGAAGTTTTCCACAGGCTGTTCCTCAAACTGGTGCAGCTCCTCATTCTAGGGAGAGAAGACCCACCCCACCAGCTGGAGTCAGCCACCAGCCTCAGGCACACAGCCCAGGACCCAGCACCCACCCCAGCCCTGTTCGGCCCACCTCAACCTCTGCCTCACCTCCTTGTAGAGATGAATGGCCGGGTCATTTCCACTCAGGAGAAACACAGTCTCCAGCTGATTTCCCACCTGGACCCTGAAAGCAGAGAGATCTAGAGATCTCAGATGTGGGTGGAATATAAGTGGAATAAGTCTTTGTCTATGGCCAACTTCCCTTTCCTGTCAGGCTGGGTGTGGTGGCTCACACCTATAATCTCAGCTAGTCAGGATGAGGAGGTAGGAGAATTCATGGTCAGATCTGGGCAAAAGCAGGGGACTATTTGAAAAACAAACTAAGGTAAACAGGGCTGGGACCTGGTTCAAGGGGTTGAGTGTCTTCTTAGGAAGTGCAATACCTTGGATTTAAATATCAACAAGAAAAAGTTCCCATGAGAACTTGGACTTCTGAGATTCAGACATATGTGCCCAGCTTGGATCTTTAAATACAGGCTTGTGGGAGCAAGTCCTCACAGTGCCAGAACTTGTCTACCCTACCATTCCTAGAGTCCTCAGATCTCATAGAATCTTCAGGGTGGACCTGTGTTCAGTAATGGAACTTGGAGTTCCAGCATGGGATCATAGAACACCAAGAACCTCTTTAATCGGGAACCCCCCAGCAATCTAGAAGTTATGTTTTCTGTTCCCTTTGAAAAATTGGAAAGAACGGAACAGTGTGGTGGTGCATGCCTGTAATCCCAGCACTCATGAGGCGGGGGCTAGAGGATGGGAAGGTCCAGGCCAGCCTGTCTCAAAAAACAAACAAAAAAAACCAAATTTCATTCGTGGAACATTCATCTGCTAGTCCAGAAGTTGGTGAACTGGGATTGGCAGAGATATTTTAGTTTTCAACCCTCATTTGCATGCCAACTTTCAATTTTCCAGAAGAGAAAGAGACTCTCAGTGGAAGGGAGGGGTGCCAGGGACACTCACTCTGCGTGGCACAGCTGGAAAGGCGTGAACTGCAGCTCCAGGTTCAGGCAGCTCTCTGAGGGAGGACAAGAGAGCCAGCAATTAAAGGCACCTGCCACGCCCACCTATCACGACCCTCCTACCCTCCAGCTCCCAGACTATACTCACGGGCAATGGAGTCAAGATTGTACTCGGAGCCCGGCTCATAGTCGCAGTAAATGTTAAGGAAGGGGCTGCCCTTGTCACCGGAATCCTGGGGGAGAGGAGGAGAATCAGGGGGTGGGGCAAGGACTGGAGGGGGAACTCACTACCCACCGCCTGTGTCAGAAGGAGGGTGTGGGCATAGGTGGCAGGTGCTCTGGGTACCTTGATGAATGTGATCCCCACAACCAGGCCCCGCTTTGGGGGTGACTTGTTGAAAGTGTCAATGGAGACAATCTCAGCGTCCACTGGAAGGGGACAGTTCAAAGTTCACGTTTCAGACAATCTGTGATCCCTGGTACCCACCCCCTTCTCCCCCGTCACAATGATTTGGGACCCTGGGACTCTCTGACACCATCACCATGACTTCTGACCACTGGGTACCAGGATCTAATCTATGTTTGAGGAATCTCGAACCAAACGAATAATAAGTCCCTATTAACCCAGCCCCGCCCCCCAGTCAAATCAATCACCTACCTCCTACTGTGACCCCGAAAGAACCTCAGCCTTCTTGACCCATGTTCCAGCCCGCGCCCCCCAGCTCCAGGGCGCCACTCACCGGGGATGTAGTTGAACTGCAGTTCTTTGGCCACAGGCCGGATTTTCTGTCGGAGGTCTTGGTAGCGGAAGCCGAGTACCTTGCCTTTAAGGGTAGCGGCCAGCAGCTCCCCGCGTCCGCCAGCGCCGCCTGCCAGCCCGTACACATTGCTCTGCGACGAGAAGCGCGTGAAGCTATCCTCGCGCAGCGGGCAAGGCTCCGCCGCCACCGCCGCTTCGCCCATCACAACGCCTACCACTCCCTACCTCTGTAGCCCTAGCAGCCGCGCGCCGGGTCCCTACTCGCAGCTTCCCTAAACATCAGGCGCGAAATGATGACGTAAAGAAGCGGCCGTCTTTGCCCTCTACCAAGATGGCGCCCAGCTGGCCAGCTTTACCCGTATGCGCCTGCGCATTAAATTACTGGTTCCACTAGGACCAGAAAGGAGTTAGCACCCTGCCAGCATCCCAAGGCCTATTCTGGTGGGAAATGTAGAGTAAGAATAATCATAAAATTTACTCACAAAACCTAACATTGCCCGGAACTTCTCCAAGTGCATTCCATCGAACAATGTATTCCAAACTCACGAGACTGAGATGGTACTATGCTGTTTTATAAATGAACTGAGAAGCAAAGTTAACTTGCCTACAAGCACGTGGCTGGTACGAAGCAGTACTAAAATTCAAACAAGGCAACTTTACACCTAGTGCATTACTCTAACAATCTCACTAAAACAGTGAGATTGTGGCTGGGAAGGTGGCTCAGTGGTAGCGTGCTTGCCCCGCATGCATGAGGCCCTGGGTTCGATTCTTCACCACCACATAAACAGTAAAAGCTAGAAGTGGTGCTGTGGCTCAAGTGGTAGAGTACTAGACTTGAGGTGAAGAGCTGAGGGATGTGCACAGGCTCAGAGTTCAGGCCCCACAACAACAACAACAAAAAAGTGAGATTGTGTTCTTACCCTAAGAGAAAAGATCCAGCCATCTATCTGTCTTGGTGGTAAGCAGCCACCTCCTTAATGAATCCTTCCTAATGCCAGTTCTCTGCAGGAACCTCTCCTCATTCACTACACAATATTTCCCACAAGCCCCTTCCACAAACTCAATGAAGAGACAAACCAGGCTGGCTTTGAACTCAAGATCCTCCTTCCTCAGCCTCCAGGGTGCTTCACTGTGCTGAACTTGACAAAAACTTATCCCAGTTTACAGAGCATGTAGGCTAAGCCTTCAGGAAGAGCAAGCAAGCAAGAGGTAGAGACAGGTGAACCAGGTTCCTGCCTATACATGGAGGGCTTAGGGCCCTGTGCATGTCTGTGCCATTTTGGAAGATATGGGTTGACAATTGCCACCCTGACTAGTCACAACTTGCAGGAACACACACACACTGCATAAAGGTAGCCATTGGAACCTTCCAGTCATAGTCAACCCTGGACTGACACATAGCACTCAGTAAATATGTATTAAAAATCTTCAACCAGCCGGGCACCAGTGTTTCACACCTGTAATCCTAGCTACTCAGGAGGCTGAGATCTGAGGACTGCGGTTCAAAGCCAGCCAGGGCAGGAAAGTCTGTGAGACTCTTATCTCCAATAAACCACTAGAAAACCAGAAATGGTGCTGTGGCTCAAGTGGTAGAGCTCTAGCCTTGAGCTGAAGAGCGCAGGGACAGTGCCCAAGCCCAGAGTTCAAGCCCCACAACAGACAAAAAAAAAAAATCTTCAACCATTATTTGCATGTATGAAGATGGAATACTGGTATCTGTTGAAATTGTTTTATAGGAAGGGGTGGGGACAACACATTGTCTACATGTGTAAAAATGACACAAACTCCCATGTGTAATTAATGTATCTTCATAGAAATGAACAAAGCTCTCTCTACTGACTATGGAAAGCAGAAAAGGGAGAAGGGGGAGGTGGGTCCCAATTTCTGGATCTGGTGATATAGGCTCCTGGCAGGCAGGTCTGGGGTTGAACTCGAGGACCTGGGGTTTGGCGTGGGGAACAGCAGGTGCTTTGGGCAGCCTCGCTGAGAATGCGCGACTGGTAGCAGTGCTGCCATGCTGTCACACATTTCCCCCACCAGGGACACCCACCTAATAGTTGCGTGAAAGAATAACCAATGCAGCTATGGCCTCCAAGGTTAGGTCTGGCTTCTGCCAGGACTGGCAGCCATCAAAGCACCAGCCTGAAACCACATTGAAGGGCAGGGGCCTCATCAATCCAGCCCAGGTGTGACCCAGGCCAGCCACTGGACTTGCTGAGAGTGAGACTCAGACATGCCCTGTCAGTCTGTGTTCTCAGGGAAGGACCGTGGTGTGACTGGAGTGCTCAGCAGAGTGCAGTGAGGACAAGGCCCAGGAGTGGCTTCCCAGGCAGCCCCTGCGTGCACAGGGACTGCCCTGTTCACTTCCTGCCACAGTCTTCCCATCCTCTCTGTTCCAGGAGCCTCCTCTAACCTGCTTCCCATAGAGGCCCAGCCCAGGGGGGGGTCTCCTAACTTGTCATGCATGGTGGTGGATGTGGGGTTCCTGCCTCTCCTTCTTTCTCCATCTTAGGAGGGACAGACAAGGGGCAGTCTTCCGAGGATGGTGGGGACAGAGAGGATGGAATCTGCAGGCTCTCTACCCATCTCCACCAAACCCCACTCTGCAGGTAAACCTGAGGGGCAGCTGAGAAAGCCAACACCCCCATAGCTCAGGGACCGCAAGAAATCAGGACAAGCCCAGGGTTCCAGTGCCCCTCACCAGGCCCATCCTCCCTGAGTCTCTTAAATCTCTCCCACTTCTCAGAGATGGCTCAGGACCAGAGAGTGGTGTGACACTGTGGGCTGGGGGCAGCAGAGGTGAGCAGGAAAGAAAGACTCATGCAAAAGTGGTGGCTTTTATTTCCTTCTTGGGCCAGCAATGGCTTCCCACTGCTGGCTGGCCTGGGGGAGGAGCAGGCAGGGTAGAGGCAGAAGAGCCCTCTGGGCTCCAGACTGGGGTCTAACCTGAGAGGTCGGGGCTGAGGGAGGCCAGGGCATGGCCACCCCTGTGGAAAGAGCAATTATGAGGCTACAAGTGTTCAGAGCTCAGCTGGGAGCAAATGAGAGCAAAAGCAAACCAGCTGTGTTTCAGCTGGTCAGGAGGAGGGGAGGGGGATCAGACGCAGACCCCAATTCTCCTCCCCCCACTCACGGCCCCTGCAGCAGAGGTCTGTATCCAAGGTTCTGTCCAGGTGGTTCTGGTAGAGGATGCCCGTTAGGGGCTTAAATAGATGGGCAGGGGGCAGAGGATGTAGCGAGAACAGAGGTGACTGTCCGGCCAGCAGGCCTCGTGCTGGGCCCCCACCCGGAGTGAGGGGTATAGAGCCCACACTGCTGCCCACGTGGCCTGCAGACTCCCCGGTGGGGGAGGGGAGGGTGGGTCCTGGCCCACCTCTCGGCGCAGGCAGAGGCGGGGCGGTGCTTAGCGCAGGTCCTCCTCCTCGCCCTGGATCGTCTTCTTGATGCGAAGCAGCATGGTGGTGAGCCACTGGTCCAGCCTGGAGATGGAGTCATACTCCTTCACCTGTGGGCACAGCAGCAGCCTGGCATTGGCTCCCTCCCCCTTCATGCCTGGTCCCAGAGAAGGACACAGGACCAACAGGCCAGCCAGCTGCCTTTGTCTTTGCTGTCTTGTCTTTACTACACTTCCTTTGTTGGAAAAAGCATTTTACAGCTTAGAGAAAGAGGTTTCACCTTCCTTGTATAAGACAAGATGGAAGGAGGCCTAGGAGGTGCCTGGGAAAGTTCTGTCCCCGGGGCCTGGGAGTGGGGCCCCAGCCCACCCTTCCTTGCCCTGTCCTCAGGGCCTGTGGGGTGGGATGGGGTTGGTCTCTGTCCACCTTTATGGACTTCAGCTCCTAGGCACTCAGGGAGAGATGTGTGGCAGACACTTCTAGTAAATCACATTAGGACTGGAAAGGTTTGAGCTACAAGGATTCAGGACCTTGTAGGAAAGGGAGAGCTACCCTGTGGGGCGGGGACCAGCTTACCTGATGTGATGTGGCCCCAACTGCTCACCCTGGAGGCAGTCTGAACCCCAAGGGGCAAGGTGAGTCCCCTTCCCACCTCAGCCCCACCACTGCCACCTCTAAGAGTCCTTGCATCTCTTGGGTCTAAGCAAGGACTATGGTGTGACCGGCAGAAATCATAGCCATGGCCCAGAGGTAAGGAAAGAGTAGAATCTGCGCAGCCTGCAGGAGGAGCGTAGCCTGCCCAGCACCTCCACGGAGGCCTGGCCGCATGCGCTGTCCACTCACCGACTCCGTGTAGCTGTCCACATTCTGTTCCTCATGGGCATCTAGCAACTTCTGCAACCAAATAGCAGGTCAGGGTCAGGACCAGGCTGGCCTGGATTAGACTCATGCACACATGATAGGGATGGAACCGGAAATGGGGGGTGCCTTCCCACAGAGAGGGAGAGAAAGCAGGGTGGGGTGGGTCCTGCCACCCAACCTCCATCCAAAATAGCTTAACCATGGACCACCGCCTTGGTAGACCACAGTTGTGTAGGTGGCAGCAGGAAGGGGGGGAAGGGGGGGTGTCCCAGGCTCCTGGCCCTGTCCCAGGCTCATGGCTGCTCAGATGCCAAGAGAATAAGAGCAATCAGTTCTCTGAGAATGACTGGACAATACCAGGAGCACAAGCATGCAGACTCTCCACCCAGTGCTCCTACCCTGACCCCTGCAGGGCTGGGGGGGCACTCACCTTTACCAGCTTGCATTCCCGGGAATCGGAGAAGGCTGGGAACAGCTCCTCATATTTCTGGACAGCAAGCTGAGCAGCATGGAGGGAGGAAGGGGACAAGCTAATAAAGACAGGGCCGCTGGAGACACTGGCCCCGACACACTGGGGATCTGAGGGTCATAGTTTGGAGCCAGCCAGGGTAGCATAGTCTAAGAGACTCTTATCTCCACTAAATGATGTGAAAAGTCTGAAGTTGAGCTGTGGCTCAAGTGGTAGAGCGCCAGCCTCGAGTGAAAAAGCTCAGGGACAGACCAGGTGCTGGTAGTTCACACCTATAATCCTAGCTACTCAGGAGGCTGAGAGTCGAAGACTGCAATTCAAAGCCAGCCTGGGCAGAAAAGTCCCTGTGAGACTCTTTATCTCCAATGAACCACCAGAAGCTGGAAGTGGTGCTGTAGCTCAAAGTGGTAGAGTGCTAGCTATGAGCAAAAGAGCTCAGGAACAGCACCCAGACCCAGAGGTCAAGCCCCTTGACTGGAAAAAAAGAAAAGAAAAATTAAACTCAGAGCTGTAGCCCACAGGGAAGCAAGG